CTTCTGTTTAATGTATCTTGTTCCCTTCACTGTTGTGTTTTTGTTTTTGTTTTAATAACTTTGGTCCTTGTGGACACATTTCATTGGAGATTAATGAGATTAACATTCAGTTTCTGTACCAAGCCTCAAAGCAGGATCAGGACAAGAAACAAACATCCAACATCCAAAAATAGGAGTGAACAGCACTGTGTCCATGAGCCATCGTGCTCTGTACCCAGCCTGTCTTTTCTACTCCCTGATGATTGTGCTAGCTTATTGCCCCAGTAGTGGACAGGGACAGAGGGAGTGAGTGGGGTGGCCTTACTACTCGACATGACAAAATAGGCTATCAAAAACTGTGTTTTAGTAATTCGTAGAAAGACAGGTTCTCTGTTTTCCCATTATACCCGGACGGGAGAGCCTTTTACCTTGTGAAATGAAATTGTAACTACAGTGGAAAAACCTATCACCCATGCTCAGAATCTGCCTGCAAAGCAATGTGGGATGGGTGGCCATCCATGCTAGGTTTTTTTCATCAGGACTGAACATTCGCCTGTCTCTCTTTGGGTTCCATTCTCATTCCTCTTTCGGGTCTTCAGGTGACCCCATGTCTTCTGGGTCAAGTTGCATTACCCAGGAGTTGATGATAACAATTATGGACTCATTACTGCCTGGTTGAAGGCTTTTTTGTGAAAGTTGGGGATTTATGTAAAATTGGTTAAGGTAGGATAGATGTTTATCAGAACCAGTAGGTAGCTGATTTCTTATTGCTGAGCTGTGGCAGAAAAATGGGAAAGGTGAATAGCCCATGGAACATTCTAAGAAATGACTTTTCTTGGTAGAAGTTAGATATGTACCCTGTTCTTGTATGAAATGACCACCATTGTTAACTTTTTTCCCCCCCTTTTATTTTTTTTATTAAGGTTGCTAGGTCTAATGTGACACATTGATGAGCTTAGAGTTAAGATTGATCAGAAAGCTGTGCTGTTTGGCCCACAGGGCAGTAGAGGCTGGGAAGGGGCTTGATCAGTCGGCATGTGTGCAGTACAGCTGTATGCTGTATAATGCAGTATAGAAAGAAAACTTGATTCTTCAACCCACTATGACCCAAAAAGGGAGGGTGATGTTATTGTTAGCTTACATCTTTGGCTTTGGAGGCTTTTCGAAAACCAAAGGCAGAAGTGAGGTCTCTGGGGATTCTTGATTGGCAATCTGTATTGTGGTGTTTCGTGTCTTCTGAGTGTTTTAATTTACCTGGCCTTTGACACACTTGACTTCTGTTATTTCTCATGGATGCTCGGTGAGATAGACTGATAAGAGACCATTACCCCATTTCACAGATGAGAAAAGTAAGCTATTATGAGATAAATGCACTTGTGCCAGTGCATTCTCTATGTTGTGCGACAAAGCTGGACTTCCCAACCCCAAGCTCGCTCTGACCCTGTATGGAATGCTCTTTCAGATAAATAGATTCTCCCCTCCCTACACATGAAGTTGTGTCCCATTAAACCCATCATTAAGCTGGAAATACTGTAAGTCAAAAATGCATTTACTACACCTAAGCTACCACACGTGGTGCCAGTACGGTGTGGTGTGGTGTCAGCTGTTTTGCCCTCTGGTCTCATGGCTGTTGGGGTGCTGTGGACCAGCGTCTCTTCGCCAGCCCAGAAAAAGATCAAAATCCAGAGTATAATTATTTCTGCATGTGTACTGTTTTTGCACAGTGATGAAGCCGAAACATTTGAAGTTGGAAGCCATCTGTACACTACTTGTCTGTTGAGACTATTTAATTAATTATCACATGCAAGTTAGTGAGTGTTTAACCATGCATGGTGCTATTCAAGGGATATAATATAACATTTATTGCATGCCTAATTCACACCCTTTTCCTGTAGACATCTGACTACAGTGGATGGATAAGAATAGATGAGATGTGTTGTGCATATTAAGTAAGCATGTGAATGGATTATAAGGTTTTACATCTCCTATTCAAGAGATTGCACATGGGGATTTCTTTTAAAAAAAGAGGATGAAAAGGAAGTATCAGCATTTTTTTCTTTTTAGGGATTTTAATAGTTTATTGAAGAAGTATAAGATAGTTTTCTTTTTTTAATTTGATTAGTTCATTATTGTTTGAAGGAGAGGAAGAGAGAGGGATCTTTCATGATATCTGCTAGTTTACTCCTCCTGTGCCTGTAATAGGTGGAACTAGGCCAGCATGAAGCTGGCAGCCAGGGACTCCACAGAGATTTGAGGTCAGCTGCTTAGTATAAGCAACTCAACTACTTGAACCTTTTCGCCTTCTACCTGCCAGGGAGTGCCTTGACAGGATGCTGGAGTTAGGAGCAGAGTCCAGCTTGGGACCCAGTCAGGGGCTCCAATATGGGATGTAGGGTTCCCTTCGGGCTTTTGAACTGCCTTGTCCAATACCTGTTCTAGGGCAGCTCCTTTGTTGTCTGTGATTGTGGCAGTATCCAAAGCTAGAACTCAACTGTGACTAGCCTTTTTTTAACCCTGTGTGTATTCTGTGCATCAGTATGAGATGTAGTGACAAAATGCTATCATTAGAATCCAGTGGATGTAATATTTTCCTTATCTTTTAGGTAACTTTTACTGTGGCTTTGAGTTTTCTTACCTATAAGATGATCATCACCCTTGACCTTGAAATACCATAAAAACTTAGTAGCATGGCATCTGGTGTGGCAGTGACTTTGAAAAATGGTAGATAGGAGGCCAGAGTTGTGGCACAACGGGCCTAGTAGCTGTTTGCAATGCTGGCATTCATACTAGAGTGCCAGTTTAAGTACTGGCTGGTCAGCTTTTGATCCAGCTCCCTGCCAATGTGCCTAGGAAGGTAGCTTCCCTGCCTGTCACATGGGAAGTCTGAGTGGAGTTCCTGATGGCAGGATTCAACCTGGTTCAGACCTGGCTGTTGTAGCGCTCTCTCTCTCTCTCTCTCTCTCTCTGTCTGTCTCTCTCTCTCTCTCTGTCTCTGTCTCTCTTTCTCTTTCCCTCTCTCCTACCATGTCCTATCATGTTGCCTTTCAAACAAATCTTTTTAAAAAATGTTGGCTTTATGATGGTGACTGTTTGAATCTTTAAAGATCTACTCCTTCCTAGGGATTAGTTGGTATCTTGGTTGATACATTTTTTTAATTCAGTCTCATAATTTGTGTTTTGACTTGCTTTTATATAAAAATCTCTGTTTATTTTGTTAATGAAGACTACAAATATGAAGGATTTTTGTCCAAGGACTTCTTTACACACACACACACATATATAATCTTACAGCACTCTCATATTTTGGATAAATATCTTTACAAGTGGAAGAGTGGGACAGGCACTCAGCTTGCATCCCATTTCAGGGTGCCTAGGTCTGAATACTAGCTCTGCACCCTGTCCATCTTCCTGCTGAGGTGTGCCCAGGGATTTAGCAGGTGATGGCTCAAGTGTTTGGGTTCCTGCTACCCACGGACGAGACCTGGATTGAGTCCAGGCTTCTGAGCATTTTTGATGGGAGTGCCCCTCTCCCTCGCCCATTCCCACTCCTAACTTCCTTCCTTCCTTTCCCTTTCTCTCCCTCCCTATAAATAAATATTTTAAAAAGAAAGAATAAGGCATGGAAAGCTTATTTACTTATTCATGATGGTCAGCTTGTCAGTTTGAGATGAGTAAGTGGAATCTTTGAGTAATTTTTCTTGCAGCAAAAGACATTCGTAAAGTACGCAGAGCATCAGTTAGTAAGCCCTGACACTCTGGCTAGTATGTCTGCATCTTTCACATTTGTTTGGGGCTTGTGAAACTGCCCTGGTTGTGGTGCCCGTCTCTGCTGGATTCCATTGTTTTTGGTCGTTTTGGTCTTCCTTCTTTCGGCCAGCCTCCCAACCTTCTCCCAATTGCCGCTCATAGCACATTTAGCACATACTGTGCATAATAGTGTTAGCTTATTCTTCCAAACAGCATTTTCTTTCTTTAGTTACAGTTTTTCTCCCCACTCCACCTCTCCTTTTCAAATGCCTTTGCACACTGCAGTCCCTTTTTTTCAGTCGGTGGTTTTGCTTCCTAGCCTGCCCGCTGCCTCCCTTCTGACTGGTCACCTTCCACCTGCCATTCTAACTTCCTAGCGTGGTTTTATTGCTCTCCTTCAGCAGCAGTGCAATTCACGCTGCTGTCCGTGTTCCTCGCTTGGTACAAGATTCCGGATAAGGAAAGAGAAGTGAGATTGTTTGCCTTCCAGTTTGCAAATATCACTGCGAATCTTGCGTGTGTGTGTGTGTGTGTCTGTGTGTGCACATACTCATGTGTGCATGAAAGAAGGATTACAGGATTCCAGATAAGGAGAGAGAGGTGTGGTTGGTTGGTTGTCTTCCAGTTTGCAAATATCAGTCCTTTTCTCTCCCTGTGCTGCCTTTATCACGTGCTTCTCCATCTCTCCTATTTTCCTTTGGTTTTCTTTCCTTTACTCTAGCTGCTTGTTGCACCCAAGATGGCATTTGAGGACAGGGAGGCTGCGGGCTGTAGCACAGTCTCATGGTGATCGTTCCCTCCATGTCTTTAGCCAATTTGGTCACGCTCTGCTCTCTGAGGACTCCTTGGTGGGCACCAGCCACATCGTCTCCAGAATCATCCCTGGCTGCGGTCACAGATGAACCGTACCAGGCAGCAGCGTTCTCCTGAGTTTGAAAGAATTTAAATTGGGAGTGAGGGTTAAGGGTGATATAACCACTCTTTCCTCTCCAGGGATCCATTTTAAAAGTTTTGAAATTGATGAGAATGCAGAGAACATACAGAATAAGTTGTGAGAAAGGCAGCCAAAGAAGGAGACCGAGCAAATCTCCCAGCAGCATTTAGTTGAATACCTGCTGTGGAGGCAAGCGTGTAGCAGAGATGTTAATAAAACCAGAGTGTATTAAAAAGAAGTGGTGATAAAGCAGTTGACGAGGAAAGAGAAGGCAAGCAAAGGCTCACATGAAATGTCAGTAGGATGATGGTGTGTACGTGATGCCCTTAACATGTTGCACATGTGTCCATTGCTGTGGTCGACTTGCTTCAGGAGCTCACAGACATAGACACCCTCCACGAGAGTGAAGAGGGAGCAGAAGTCCTCATCGACGCCCTGGTAAGTTGCGCAGCCATCCCCTGCCCAGCTCCCGCCCTCATTGCTGGAGTTTTAGAGATTTGTGTCAGTATGGCGGCAGCACCACGACCATCTGAGTGACATCAAGTTGGCATCAGTAAGAACTTAAGAAGGTGAGAGCAGGACTGGGTGAGGGGAGTAAGGAAGTCGAGCTGTGCCCTGTGGGTGCCTTGGTCTTGGGAACTGTGTCTGGTGAGTGCTGTGGATGCCTCACACTGATGAATTACCCGCGCCAGCCAGGCCGTTTCTCATTCTGGTCCTCAGCTTGTCCTCAGAGAGCTGTCATGGCTGTTACTGCCAGCTACATCAGTGAAGCCAGAGCTTCAGGAGGTAGCATGGGGTACCCGTGGCCACGCTGCTGGGGCCTCGTGTGTTCCCTTCTCCTCCATGTTCTCGTTGTGCTCACCCTTGAGCATGCTGCTCCTGAGCATTCCAGGATGTTGGTTTGCTCTTTTGGACTTGATAATGGCAAGTTTTGTTACTGTGATCACTGATTTTGCAGGCTGATCCTCAGAGGCTGCCCAGGACCAGACTAGGCTGGCTCCCTGCCTGCGTAAGAGCGGGCCATTTGCTTGCTGCATTCCCTTTGCTGAGCCCAGGTTCTTGCCAGGCGTTGAAATCTCAGCCGTTGTTCCAGGCAGCAGCCGATCCAAAGGCCTCAGCATGTAGGGGGAGACCCAGAGGCCCAAGGCATCCTTGTGCTGAGCCATACAACAGCCAGTCATGTGACTACAGAGACAAGGGTTGCACCTGCTGCTCCTGCCACACTGATCTCACTGCATCCAGCAGAAAAGGTGCCACAGCCAGCCAGGGGCAGCAGCGGGTCTAGTCTTATCCAGCACTGTACAACCACCCCTGGAACTCTGTCCATGCCCCAAGCAGCCTTCCTCCTCCAGGCTCCAGGGACTGACCTTCCCATTCTAGTGTCTCCTCTGTCTTTTCTTAGATGTTCCTAAGGACTGGTTATGATGTAGTTTGCAGATTCAGGTTGCCGCAGCTGCTTGTGGCTGAAGCCCCTCAGGTGCTGGTTAGGCTACTTTCTGAGTCAAAGAATGAAACTGGGCCCCCAATGGTTCAGAGACCCCGTTGCTACATTGCCTAGGCCTCAGCCTTTCTGTAATGGTCCTGCACCCCACACCTGCCCCCGTGTCGTGCCTGCTGCCAGTGTTTGGTGTGATTGAGGACTTGTAAACCCACTGCCTATGAAGAACTGTCTCACCGAGGGACTGGGCGCCTGCCTGCAGGGCTCCGTGTGACTGAGAAGGATGCAGACTTCTGTGGCTGTTTTGCTCCTGAGTTCTAGAGTGAACTGCCACTTGAGTGAAGTCTGGGCCTTTTATTCTCTCTCTGAACCACCGTGCAGGGTGGAAGGGCTGCTGTCAGGGCTGTCTTGGTTTTGAGGAGCATCCCGGGGATGGGAGAGGCGCTCAGGTGGCACTTGCTCCAGCACCGTGTCCCCGCCATGTCATTGTGCGGTCTTACCTTCCAGAGGTTAATTACATTGGCCCCGGATGTACCTTCCTGCCTGCTCCTCGGGCTGATTTTAATTACCGCCCCTCGCCTCTGTGAATAGAGAAGATGAGAAGGAACGGCTAGCCTGGCAGCTGCGAGTAAGACGCACCAAGGAACAGCAGCATGCACAAAAGCCCCTTTTGTGTTTTCCGTGTTGCTGAACCCACCAACAAAAGCTGAATCTTGCAGATTTTATTGTTTGTTTGGAAAGAAGCAGTTCTTTCCCAGCCTGGGGAGCCATTAGGAATAGCTGCAGTAGAGGGTTTTCTGTTTGTTTAGTTTTTATTGTTATTATTGTTACATTATTTTTAAGATTTTGACTCTTACAGCTTTATCCTGGTGGGACTGACATGAATCACAAACACTGAAAATTTCCAGGCTCCTGTGCTTGTTTGCAGCTAGTCCAAAGCCATCAGTAAATATCAGAGAGAACTGGCAGGTGGTCTTCCATCTATTTTCTTCTGTTCTTATACACCATTTGGGAAGAAAGTTAATTGTTCTATTACATGGGTTGCGTTGTCTGTGTCATTTTAATCCGGGACAGGTGTCAGGGACCGGGAAGCGCACGAGCAGAGGCTGAAGGGCAGGTGGCAGTGCATACCGTGGTGTGCGCCCTGCAGTTATTGCCTTGTTCCCTCTCCCTGTTGGAAGTCCCAGGCAATAGGATCACACATGCGTAGGGAGAGAAAGTGCTGGCCCAGCAGCCGTGGGGATCTGTGGGGCTTTTTAATTTGGTTCAGATCCACTGCTGTGACTTAGGCAAAGAGCAGGTATCTGTGCGTTGTAACAAGTTGGTTTGGTAAGTTGGAAAAAAAAAAGACTCTGCTGATAAGCCATAGAGATGAGGGCAGGTGGCCTTGATGGCCATCCACCTGTCAGACTCTATTCACCCTAGGGCAGTGAATAAAAGCTGTTGTTTTCCTCCTTGCTGCTCCCAGCTGGGTTCTGGGCAGTCCTATGTCCTTGCTCACACTTTGCCTTGGCCCTGCATCCTTGCTCACACTCAACCTTATACTTGGCAGGCCTTGCTTCTCCAGGACTGCCCAGAATGTTCCTTCTCTTCCTTTCAAGCCTTGCTGAACCCTGGTCTCGTCTCTCGAGTTTTGTCAGCCTTGTCATCTTGGCAGGATTTGTACATCCTGGCCCCTGCTGTGTTGGATTGTGAACAGCTGCTCATAACGTGGTGTAGTCAGAGCTCGGTCACCTGCCAGCTGTGTGTCCCTGGGGAAGCCACCTGACCTCTCTGGACTGTATTTCGTGCTCTGTGAAGTGGAGGGCACATCAGGCAGTGCCTGTGTCATGGCATCAAAGTGGGACATGGGCAAGACATTTCATGCATCACTGGCAGACTAAGCCCCCGGTGACTCTTCACCATCCTTGCTGTAAAGGAATCATGCCTGGCAGACAATCAAACTTAGTAAAGGTCAAGTTAGAGTTACATATATCATCTGCCACACAGATGTCTGTGAACATTTAAGTTCTACAACCGTTGTTTTTAGTTCATGAAATGTTTCAGAAAACCTTTTTGTACAAACAATAAAAGCAGACAAGCAAACCCCCTCCCCCCAAAATTTGGATGACATAGACCTAAATATTACATTGTGAGGACAGAGTTTAGTTTAAAAAAAAAAAGTGCGGCAGGTGACGGGGGAGACATCAGCACCAACCCCATGAGGCAGAAGGCTAACTGGCGGTGAGGACCACAAGCCTTCTGTGCAGCCCAGCAGGTGCCGTGACCTCGGTTGGGGCATGGTCAGGAAGGACTACAGGGCCCCAGGCGGCAACCACGGCCCTGAGAATGTATGAAGGTATGACTGGGCCATGGAGTTTCCCAGAATGACTGGGAGGTACTGTTGTGAAGAGATTCATAGAGGCAGCTTCATGTGGAGAGCCAGGAGACCACTCTGTGTCCCCGTTTTGGCCCTCAGCCAACCCTGCTTGCCTTTAGTTCCAAACACCTGACTTGTTGGGATTGAGCCAGGCTGGGAGAATTTGGGCAGCTGAAGTGAGCTGGGCCTTTGCAGAGCACTGTCATGTCGGAGGCAAAGGTGGGAAAGCTCTCTGGCTGAACTTGATGGAAAGACCTTTGTAACAGCTGTGTGGAAAAAAGGTTTGAGTTGGGGCGAGATTGGAAGGTGAACGTTTACTAGCTAGAATTGAACAGTCCTGAGGATTTTTTTGTCCATTAAAAAAATATACACACACACACATATATATAATTTATTCAAAAAGCAGAGTTGTAAGAGATGAAGAATGACAGAAAGGTCTCCCCCTCACTGGTTCACTTCTGAAATGACTGTAATGGCCAGGGCTGTGCCAGGGCAAAGCCAGAAACCAGGAGCTTCAGCTAGGTCTCTGACATGGGTGGCCCTACAAGCACTGCTTCGCCAGGGACATTAGCAGGGAGCTAGATTCGAAGTGGAACAGCCAAGATTGAGCCAGTGCTCATTTGTGTTGGTGTTGCAGGCAATAGTTTCATTCATTATGCCATACTGCCGGCCCCAGGGCTGAGTTGTGTGTTCAGTGGGTATTAGGTGATGTTTTTATGAAATGGCTCAAGTCCTCATAGGTAGAAGCACTCCAACCCAACTCTTGAGAAAATGTATTACAGACAATACCCAATACTGAGGAGAAAATGAACTCTCCTGCAAGTTGTCTTAGCTCTCTCGTTTACTTCCTTCTCTACTTTGGTGCCATCTCCTTTGGTCAAGTGGAAGGAGGAGTCTGATCATGGCCTTGCCCTCATCTTTGGAAAACCTATTGGAATATTGTCTGGGAGACCTAACAAGTAGAAATGACCACTGACTTATCAGAAAATGTCAGACCCAGAACAGTGCTGATTTCCAAGGCTAGTGTTGTTCTGGCTGATGCTTTAATCCCTGAACGGGAGTTGTTTTTGGTTTTAGGCTTAGTCACAAGTCCAAAAACAGGGAGGTAGACCCAACGGGTTAGAGGGTGGAGGACAGAATGCTAATTTGTGCTTCTTATGAGGACATACCCAGAGCTACGCATAATAAAAAAATATTTTTTGAAGGCTTTCTAAGCTAAATGTATTTTGACTGCTTTTGGCCCTCCTGCAATCAGATAAAATTGCATTTAACCCAGCTAAACATAAGGTTTCACACTTTGCACGCTTAAAAGGCTTCCTGTTAGAAGTTAGATTTCCATAGCAAGAAGAAAGATTTTCCCCCAGCCAGATGCCCATTATCCATAACCATTCAGCTCTAGGGTTTAAACTCGCTGCTGACTGCCGCCACCCCCAGCACTTTGCAGACAACTGTGCAGGGAAATATAACTAAGAATCAAGGAAGAGGGAAGAAAAGGCGGGGGAAGCTGTGGCATGGGGAATGGTCGGAGCTGGGGAAGTGCTTTGCAGAAGTGACAGGCATTGTGATGCTGGGGGTGGGGGGAGGCTGCAGGGCCTGCTGCCTCGGGGGCTCACAGAGATTATAAGTCAATCAGAATGGGTTAGGGAAAAACAAACTGTGACATGGCTCTCACTTTCCCTGCAGATGTTTTTCTGTTTTCTCTCACATACCCAAATTGTCCAATTAATTAAGGAAAACATGGCAGTGGATTTCTTCCATGAAGCTCTTGCTGGCTGTGTGATTTGGGAGCAGGAAGGGGAGGAGTAGGAGTAGCTGCTGCTAGTGTGTTGATGCACTTCCAAGTCTGGCACCTTTGTCCTCTCTAGCAGTCACCCCAGGTGGCACTTCCCACCAGGGCCCCACAGGAGGACCCCAAAGGATTGAGGTCATTTGTGATCCAGATACTGCACATGTGTCAGTAATCCCACCTTGCACCACATCCAGATGTTTATCTTTTAGCCTCCCAGAGGTGCATTAAGAGGCTGTTTCCCAGGCCTGTCCCTCTTGCCACTGCTTCTATCCTCAGCTTGGTCTGAATGGTGCCCCTCGAGTGCCTGCCCCACCAAATCCTCCTCAGCAGGTGTCAATTGAATGTGATCATTTTCATTTTCATTTTCTTCTCTGTCCTTTTTTTTTTTTTCTTCCCTAGTGGAAGGAAAAAAAAGCATAACGGAGAAGAGTTGACTTGCAGAATTGAGCACCTCTGTCACCACTTTTGTAACAGTGGCCAGGCTAATGAGCCTTTCAAACCATGATTTTCTCACCTATCTAGAAGCTGTGAGGATCACATGAGCCAGCTGTAGTACCTGAAACAGGTGTTTTCCTCTGTTAAATCCAGCACAATGTGCTGTGTATACAACAGTAACCTCGAAGGGGATGCTGAGATGAACAAGGTGAGATGCTTGCCTTTAGGGTACCTGGCTTTCTCTTGACCTTACCAGCAGTCATCAGGTGTCAGAGGAATCAAGGGCCAGATGCAAATGCCCAACTTGGTGCTTTTGAGCAACTGCCCTGAACCAGATGCACGGTGAGGTTTGTGCCCTGCATTTATTTCACCTTTATAGCTTGCCTGTTTCCCGTCTGAGAGGGAGGATACACTGACCTTTATCTTCAGACAGAGGCTGCTTCCTGGAACTCTGTTGCCAGATGGACAGGATAGGTGGTATTTCTCAGGGCTCCAAACCAGGTGTTTCCTCTGTGAACTCCTTTCTTGTGCCTTAGGGTGGTCCAAGGGCAGTCTCCCAAAGCCCCCTGAAGGTGGCACAGGAGGGAGGTGGCACCCGAGAAGAAGAAGAACTACAAGTACTACACTCCTGATCCCCCAGTAGCTTGGAGTCTTGGCTAAGTCACCCAACCTCTCAAATGACAACTATTTACTGTGGCTATTGGAAGTATTCTGTCTGCCTCAGAAACATTTCCTGAGTCAAATAAAACAGTAACAACAAAAAAGCAGTCACTGTTTTATAAGGTGCTTTGTCATGTTAATGTTCTTTTTAAGAAGAAGCTAAAATAGTGTTAGAAGTAGTAGTTTCATAGAAGTTCAGCCTGGAGAGTTAGGGTTGGTCAAAATATTGAGATTAGTAGAGCCGGTAAACGTTCCAGCTGAGGCTGTCTGGGATGCTGTGGTCTAGAACCATGTTTGGGCTTGAGTGAACTGTTAACCTGGTATGTGATGGCTTTTGTGTCAGGCATTTAATACCACCGACAAGGGGAAAGAGCACCAGGCTGGGTTCCAGAAGGTCTGGCTTCAAGCGCTGGTGCTGCCCCTCGGTGACTCTGCCATCTTTGTGTCTGTGCTCTTTGCATTTCACCGTACTTAGGTTCACGTGGGGAGGAGAGCTGGCCTGTTCATGGACTTGAAGTCTGTGAAGGCTCATAAGAGATCCTGGGGTGAAGACTGCTGTTACTGCCCGTTGTTTATGCAGTGGAGATGCGAATCTGGGGATGGGAACGTTTGTGAGGGCTCTTTAGTGACCCTTGACCCTCCCTCCTCTAACCTCCCTCTCTCTGCAGGTGGATGGGCAAGTGGTGGCACTACTGGTGCAGAATCTGGAGCGGCTGGATGAGTCTGTGAGAGAGGAGGCCGACGGCGTCCACAACACTCTGGGTGAGGGGAAGGGCACCCATCACCCCCCCCCCCCGAGATTCTCAGTGCATGGCTTAGAGCTCGATGTTCGTGCCCCTTCTTCCTTCCCGATGGAGTCACCAGCAGGAGTGGTTTCATTCCTGCGGCTCCAGTTTCCCTTTTCCAAAATGAAGACCCTTGTATAAATTTCATATCCCTGCAGCTTTGGGTTCAGCTTGCAGGCAATAAAGGCACAGATCTACTAAGTAGGTAGCCTTTCTAAAAGAAGGCTGGTAGCTCCTTGCAGCAGACACTTGCATTCAGAAGTTGGAGTGAAATCTGTATTTTTTTTTCCTTTGGAAAGTGAAAAATCCTTACATCGTTATCTATTGGTTTTTCTTATCACTTTGCTTTCAGAGCTACAAAGTTTGGACAACTGTGTGCCTTTACAGGACTTTTTCTTTGAGAAAGAGTGTTTCTCTCTATATGTATAAATTGCTATGTGAGCTCATAATCAAAATATCGCTGTTAACATGACTACCCGTACATCACATGTTCATTGAAGTGGATTCCCGTTGAGTCTCTCTCCTCTTCCCTCTCGGACTCAATTCCCCCTGGTTTTTGCTGCCGGAAAGGTGCCAAGCCAAGAGCCTATTAGAAATGTGCTATTGGGTAGTTGTCTATTGTTGCACCCTGTCCCATGGGCTCTCTGAGCAGAACCTGAGAAGTGGGCAAGGTCCTGTGGGCACCAACCTTTTCCCATGATGAGTTTTGCTTGAAGCTCCTTTGTGTTTACTGTAAGACACCTCAGGTAACTCCTGGCTCTCTCCCATGAGGATGTTCATAAAGAGGGGGAAAGATGGGCACCTGGGAGTCAGGGAAGAGGAAACAGAAGTGTCTGTAACTTGAGGGTCAGCTCTGATCTAGAACAACAGTGCGCCATCACTGTCAATCTGGTGCTGGATTTTGGTGAATCAAAAGCTCATCAAAAGTCTTCACTGACTGCCAGTGTCATGGACAATCACCAGCCTGGCCATTTAGAGAGAACTGTCTGGCCTCAGCCTAGGCACCTATGAACAGTGCAGGAGATGCCTCCATTGTTGAGTGCCTGATCTTCATCAGGCACCTTATGCTGGCACTGGCATAGGTTATGAAGAATTATGATTAGCCATGGTACTGAGCCTTAAGGGCAGGTGGATGACCAGGTCCGGAACAGAAAAGGGACAGTGTCAGTGACAGATGGTATAGTAGACATCAGTGAAAAGCACTGTGGGAGTGAAGAGGAATAATCTCTTAAGTTGTTGGAACTTAAGGGAACCAGCTAGGACTAAATTTTAAAGGCAGGTGCATTTTGACAGGGGAAATAGACAGGCTCTAAGACAGATGACTGTCGTTTGCCAGATCATGAGTGGACATGGACTTTGGGAAAAGATTAGAAATGTCATGATGTAATGGGGATTGGGTCTGGAGGAGCTTGTTTGTTCAAATGGGGGAAGGTTTTGTAAACCACAGCAAGAAACTTGGGATTTCCTCCAGTGGGTGATAAGAAGCAAGCATAGGAGATTGGAATAAATAAGTTGATTTTTCCTAGAAGATCTGGAAAGCCATTGAGGATATTGTGCTGATCTTCATCACTCTGGGGTCTCATTGCTGCTCTCTTTCCACAGCTTTATTCTCCCACTCCTCAAGGGGCTGCCCACTCCTTCTTGAAGTTGCATTGATGAGGCCAGTGGTAGGCAAAGCAGGGAGGGAGAAGACAGGAGCTGCGGCAACTTCGGCAGCCTCTCCTCCTTCACACTGCACACTTGGCATGCTCTGGGCCTTGTGTGCAGTGAACACAGAGCTCTATCTGCTGTACGACAGCAGCTTTCTCTGAGATGTGGAGTGCAGGGGACCTTTGGGGGGAATGAGAGCTCTGGAGGCGTAAAGGCCTGCAAGTCAAAGTTACAGGGAGAGGGGAGACATGAAGAGTAGGAGAGAGATCTTCATTTGCTAGATCACTCTCCAAATGGTCAACAGCCAGATCTGTGCCAGTCCAAAGCTAGGAAACCAGGAACCTCTCAGGTCTCCCAGGTGGGCACAGGGGCCCAAGGATATGAGCCATCCTCCGCTGCTCTCCGAAGGCATAAGCAAAGAGCTGGATTGGAAGTCAGGCAGCCGGGACTCTCACCAGTGCCCACAGGGGAGGCTGGTGCCGATGGCTTTTTTTTTGATTGGGGGTTAGATGGTCTTCTTTCTGTTATCACAGTGATTCAGTTGCTTCATTTCAATATTTATTTCCTCAAATCTGAAGAGCCCTTTGTTGGACATAGCAGTGGCAGTTATATATACATCCTAGCACCTGGCAGCTCTCTGTGGCAGCATTGCCTTTCCCTTTCTGTAATTAAAATGGTCAGGCCAGCCTAAGTTGCCATGTCCTTGTTCCCACAAGATGCAGAGAAGAACTGAGGATGAGTGAATCAGGCTGGGAAGAGACTCTGAATTGACCATCCCCTGATTGGTTCCTTCTGCTGCAGCCCATCTTCCCATTGCTGTAGTTAGAGGCCTCTGGGACTCCGCTAATGCTGGGAGCTGAGCAGGCCCGCTCAAGCAGAGAGCCACCTTTCTGTGGGTTCTGCTCCAGTGCCAGTGCCATTAGTGCTGGAAATCAATCATTTATCGCTTTTATGAATGTCATCATTTTCACTTACAACCTTTGCTTGTAGCCTAACACGAAAGGAAAAAAAAAAAAAACAAATCATAGCAACTTCCCAGTTCATCTAAAAATGACGACACAGTGCCTGGCTGGGTGCAATGCAGGGAAGTGGGGAAAGGATTGAAGTGCCTGTCTTGGGAGGTGAGCTTGGTGCAGCCCTCCTGGAGCTGCCCTCCCCACTGACCACTGTCTATCTCCCCGCTTCAGCTATCGTGGAGAACATGGCTGAGTTCCGGCCCGAGATGTGCACAGAGGCTGCGCAACAGGGGCTTCTGCAGTGGCTGTTGAAGAGACTGAAGGTAAGCCTGGCCCTGTGGACAGCAGCCCTGACCCCAGCCCCGGGCCTGCTTGCTGCTCATCCCAGGGCAATGGGATCTTATCTCCTTTTGTTTACTTCTCCTTTTTTGTTTTAAAAGAGGAGCCTTTCTTTTATTTAGTTATTTGATTTTTTTAGAGAGAAAGATCTTTCATCTACTGAAGCTGGAATCAGGAGCCAGGACTTGAGCCCAAGTACTTTATTGGTGTGTTAACCACTGTGCTATGCACGCACACCAAGGAAAGCCTTGAGAAGTAGCTTTAGGGCCCTGCATGATGGTGCAGTGGTTAAGGTCCTCGCCTTGCACGCCCGGGATCCCATATGGGTGCCGGTTCTAATCCTGGCAGCCCCGCTTCCCATCCAGCTCCCTGCTTGTGGCCTGGGAAAGCAGTCGAGGACAGCCCAAAGCTTTGGGACCCTGTACCCGTGTGGGAGACCCGGAAGAGGCTCCTGGCTTTGGATCAGCATAGCATTGGCCGTTGCGCTCACTTGGGGAGTGAATCTTCGGACGGGAGTTCTTCCTCTCTGTCTCACCTCTCTGTATATCCACCTTTCCAGTAAAAAAAAAATCTTAAAAAAAAAAAAAAAAAAAAGAAAAGTAGCTTTAGTACCTTTGAAAATAATACAAGCATGATAGAATACAGTCACAGGATACAGAATGCGTAAAAAGGAAGGTAGAGGGCCCAGCACAGTAGCTAATAGGGCTGAAAGTTCTCGCCTTGCATGTGCCAGGATCCCATATGGGTGCCAGTTTGTGTCCCGGCAGCTCCACTTTCCTTTCAACTCCCTCCTTGTGGCCTGGGAAGGCAGTCAAGGACGGCCCAAAGCCTTGGGACCCTGCACCCACGTGGAACACCTGGAGGAAGTTTCTGGCTTCTGGCTTAGGATCTGCTCAGCTTTGACTATTGTGGCTGCTTGGGGAGTGAACCAGTGGACGGAAGATCTTTCTCTCTTTCTCTGCTTCTCTCTATAAGTCTAATTTTCCAATAAAAATAAATGAACCTTTTTTTTTTTAAGAAAGGAAAGTAGCATTCACCTCTCCTGATCCCCTCTAGTCCCAGAGGCAGTTCCTGTTAGCAAGATGATGTCTATTATTCCAGAATCAGAATCTTATGTACAAATATAGGAGAAAGTATGTGTTTTTCAGAGATGTACACTATTTTTTTAAGCAGGTAGATTTTTTCCACTGTCCTAATGGTTGCGCAGTTATCCCCTATACATAAACACCCAAATTTACTCAATACTTGCTGTATTTATAGGATTTTTACTGTTTTACCAGTGCTGCAGTGACTATCCTCATATATACATAGTTTTTTAAATTATTATTTTATGTGTTTATAAGGCAGGAGCAAACAGCTATGTCCTGGTCTCAGATGCCAAGTGTACTATTCTTTGCTTGCGCACTTGTCTCGGCTTGTCTGTAAGATAAATTCCTGGCAATGGAATTGATCCATTACCATGGTTCTGTTGAATTGTTCCCTCTCTTTCTTAGCTTAGTGTTTTTGATCATCTTTTAAACAATGACTGCTGTCCTACAGAGTAAAGGGGAAGAGGCAAGAGCTTCTTAAAAGAGGTTTGACCACAGATATGGTAGGAGGCCATTTGGAGCTGCTGTGTGCTACTGCAATGATCATTGGGCAGGCAAGGATTCTACTTTTTGCTGAGAAGGAGGGACACATTTGTAGGGGGAGTGCTTCTCTGGGCAGTCATGGCCTTCCTGTACTTCACTGCCAAGGGACAACCTTCACCTTTTCCCTCTCACAGTCTAGAACTTCCCCAATCCTACTTGTTATTAGCCATATTTTTATATGTGATAGATGATTACCTTAATATAACATCAGTATACCCTTAATATTATATGTTAATAATTATTTGTCCAGAGTAAATTTGTGACATGCCCTTATATCATACTGACATGAAGAGACGCAGTTATACCAGCTGACACACATGTGCCTGGCAGAGTTCAGTGGACTGTGCCTCCCCCAAAATGCCACCCTGACTTTGCTTTTAGCCTGAACTCAGCAGGTGGTTAATTGATGCCTTGTCATCCTTCCTACTTCCTTTGCCTTCATTGAACTCTAGATGTCCTTTGGGTTTAGAGCTACACTTGTTTTCCCCATGTAATTCCCCTTGCTACTCCCTAAACTCAGTTTCTTCTTTTTTCAATAGTCATTTTTATTCTCCAACTGAATGAGCAGTGGAGGAGTGAAAAATGAAACACAAAGGGATGGAGTGGATGGCAGGTACCCCAGTAGTTAATGGCATAGCCACAGGTTGGGACCCTAAGCTTAAAATATAAAAAATAACTCAATAATCATTGTGTCTGTGAGGTCAGGCCAATTTTTTTCTCAATTACATTAGAGCCATCTAGAAAGTAAGACTCGTTAGCCTTTCACAAGGTTTTGAAACTTTCCAGTTTGCTTTGTTTTTCTCTGGATTAGTAACAAAAGAAGGGAAATTGAGACCTTTGGCTCTGTGGCTTGGATTCCATTACCCTTATGATAGTGATACAGGGGCCTGTTTGATAGTCTGGCAAGCAATGGACTCTGCCCTTGCAGGCACAGTGTTTGTGTAATCCTCCAGGCATAAATAGCCATGTCACTATCTCTCAAACCGTTTGGAAAGGTTTCAGGGTGTATAAGCATTAAGATGCTATTTGGTGATTTTTCTAGTCCACAAGTTCCTTTAGAGATATCTTGTGCTGCTGAGAACATGAATGAAAATCTTGCTTAGGGGTGAAGTCAGCAAGAAGGAACATCTTTGAGAGCAATGCCTTGCTCTTAATTTCTCACAATCTGGGGAAGCACTTTGTGCAAAGGATCACCACAGTGAGAATCATGAGGCATCAGAGTTGCATGCTGGACTCAGACCCTGACATTTCCTCTTTGGCTGTGTATCTGGGAAGTATTCCCTGGACTAGTGGGCTACTGTTTTTTCAACCACATTCCCTGACCTTCCAGAGTCCTGGGCTTATAGTGAGGGTCCACTGAGGTGATCCTTTTCAGTGGTTATGGTTTGTCTGCCGTGCATTCCAGATCTGGCTTTGTGTTAAAATCCACTGGCTGCACTTTAGTAAGTTTGGATTCTGGTTCTACCCCACACCTATTCAGCCTCCCTGTCTCTGGTCTGTCTGAGAAAAATTCCACCCATGCTTCTAAGGTACAGCCACTGCTCAGTTCCCCCATCTTGAACTGTGAAGCTTGTTGTCCATTTTCATTCAAGAACCTGTCTGCAGGGATGCTAGGGCCTCTCCTTCACCTTCTCTGCCTGTCACCTGACCCAGTCTGACCTTTCCAATTCTAATGTTTGAGACATTGGCCTTTAGTAACTTTATGTAATCTATTTTATCTACCCTACTTTGCAGAGGTCAAAGTTATTTTGACCTCTGGGCCTGGCTTGGCTCTACTCCTTGGCTGTAACAGAACCCATTTCTTCTTTCTGTGTTCTAAATGATACACAACCTTCACGAGACAGCTTACAGCCCTACTCCTCACACATCCTTCATCATCTTTAGAACTGAAAGGAAAGTTATTGGTTCTTTCATAGATAAAAAATGAAAAGTTTGAACTATGGAAATGAAGTGCCTTGTCTAAACCCATTTGAGTGTAGCTAATGAGAGAAGGAACTAAGATAAAGACTCGTCTCCAGGATTTTCTTCATGTGTCCTTTATTATTTTTTTATTTTTAAATATTTTATTTTGAAATGTAGAGTTATATAGAGAGAGGGAGAGCCAGAGAGCCCACTACCATCTGCCGGTTCACTTGCCAGATGGTTGCAGTGGCCAGCACTAGGCTAGGTCGAAGCCAGGAGCTTCATATGGATTTTCCATGTGGGTAGCAGGGACCCAAACACTTGAATCATGCTCCACTGCTTTTTCCAGGCCCTTAGCAAGGAGTGGAGCAGCGAGGACACAAACTGGTACCCTGTAAGATGCTGGTTTCACAGGCAGCAGCTTTACTGGCTGTGCCACAGTTCTGGTCCCTTCGTACATCCTTCTGCAGCACTGCTTGCCTCTGGTCTTCACTGCACTCTTTCTTTCCTCTGTTTCGTTCTTTCTTAGTTATTCTCTTAGGAGAGATGATAGATCTGGGTCCTACTGCGAGCCTGTAACTTGAGACTCCCACGCTAGTACAGCCTCTTCCCTTGGTCGGCAAAGGGGTAATCTCATCACAGGGCTGACTCTGATGTTGCCATGTATGCTTATTTTCTTCCTCCAGATAGCTTTAAATTCTGAAGAGCAAAGACTGGATCTCTGTCATATTGGCATCTCCTCCCTAGTTGTTCTTAAAATGTGGTTCCCAGCTCAGGAGCCTTGGCATCACCTAGCAACTTATTCAAAATGCAAATCCCTGGGTCCGCGTGGACCCTCCCGAGTCTGTGAGACTGACGAGCGAGCCCAGCAATCTGTTCTAACAAGTCTTCCTCATGGTTCTGATTGAAGCTGAAGTCTGAGAACCAAGGCTCCTGGGTGCTGATGTCTAGACTGCTTTTTCCAAGCCTTGCTGTCTTACTGATCCTCTCATGTTTATGCAGCCTTCGGTGCCTGATTCTTGAAGTGAGTGACACTTTGGTGACAGGCATTTGGTCTCGAATTTTTCTTATGCACTCAACCTAACCCTGGATAGAGATATACAAGATTTGTTTTTTTTCGTACTCAAAGCCTCACTAATTGCTTCTATTGAGGATAAAACTCACTGCAGGTAACTGGAGTGTTACCATTACATGGGTGAGCAGGTAAGCAGGTGACAGTGATGTGAGGGAACACTGCCTCACATTCCACTTTTTTTTTAAATGGAGAATATTATCTTATTAGGATATTATGTACTATTAAAAACAGCAAAATAATGTAGAAATTTTCTTTTCTGAAGAAATAAAGTTATATTTTCCTTTGTTTCCCAGTTTAAAAAATTCTTTACAAGTTTTAGTGTGAGTTAATTAATGGAGGGAGAATCGGCCAAATTATACCACACGTTCAACTGTTTGGCACTAATGAGTTCCTGAATGCATTAATGAATGGAGAAGTCATCGCATATTCAGTGTATGAGTTAATGAATGGAGGACTGGCTAGGTTATACCACATGGACAACTGGCTGAGGCTAAAGTCCTTAGCCTCCTAGGACCAGGGGTTGCGATTTTGCCATGCACAATCTGCTCTGACAGTTTTGTACAGGGCTGTAGCTGTGTCTCAGCCTGCCCTGTGTGTTCCAGGGGCCGGAGGTGAGCTGCAGATAGAACCTACAGCTTCTGGCTGCGGGTGGTAGCATAATTGTTTTGTACTCTCCAGCAAAACAGCGGCTCCCCAAAAGGTGAAGTTTAATTTTATTCAAGGCTGCCACATGCTGAGTCCAAACCTAGGCTTGAGTCTGTAATTACTGTGACGGCTGAAAAACTGGGATGGTCAGGTCCCCACGATGAAGAAAGCCCTGCGAGCCCCAGTCCCGCTGCTTACCTTTGCAAGATTCAGGGGCCCACAGCTGCTGAAGGGATTCTCTCTCCTTTTGACTGGATGGTGCTGTCACTTGGCAGTATGGTGCCAAGCAATTTCTGGCTGAGTTTTAAACAGAAATAACATTTCCAGGATCGGTTTTGTCTTTGATTATAGACATAAAAGATTAGTTCCTACCTGCCTTGCCAGCCTAGCTTCTTGGATGTCTGTCCCACCGAATTAAAATATGTGGTCATTGTCCCACTGATCATCACTAAGCCTCCCCACCCCCGGCAGTGCAGGGCTGACGTGTTGCCTGCTTGTCACCTGCAGCTGCCCTGCCCTCCTCACCCCTGCCACCGTCGGCAGCTGAGGAAAGAATCCCAGAGAAAGAAAAATGTCTTCCTCAAGCCACGGGGGCAGGGCTGGGAGAACCTTTGAGGGTCAGTGCCCGGGTGCCTGTGAGTGTCCCAGAGCTCTGTGGCCACACCCATCTGGTTTGCTCATTAGATGCCGCCTTTGTGCCAGTTTTCGACAGGGTTTACACCTTAAGCAAAAAGTGACAATTATGAATTAATACTGTTGCTGTTTTTGCTTTGAGTAAATTAGGAACTCTATGGGGTCATACAGCAAGCCGTGGGGATTTCTTAGGGGTGCAGAGAAGTCTCAGTGGAGAGGGGCTCAGCTGTGGGGTGTCTGTTCTGTGTAAGTACGCCAGTTGTCTGACTGCAGTCACTGCAGGGAAGGATGGTATTGATCAGCACCGGGCATAAGAGAAAGCGGTTAGTGCAGCACAGTCATCTGACCAAGTCATTAGTATACAGGCATTACCTACTGTGTATTAGGTACTTTCATACTGCCTTGTTTATTTTCTTGATAGCTCACTGAAGAAGTGTGTGTGTGTGTGTGTGTGGTTTTGTTTTTATTTGGTTTGGTTTTTGTGTTTCCACTTTGCAAGGAAGAAGATACCAAGAGGTGTAAAGTCACAGATTCCGATTGCTGGCTCAGGGTGCTCCCAGCGTCACAGTGCATTGTTTGTTTTACAGTGCTCTCCCTACCCCATGCTGAAAAGTACCTAACAGCCCAGCTTCTTCAAGCTTTTAGGTCCCAACATGGTATATTTACACCCTAACAGTTTAGTGGCTGATTGAAAAAAAAAAATACACATAAATCTTAACTAGCATACCTATTTTCTGATGGATGTGTGCATCTTGAGGGGGACTGCACAACTCCTCAAACCTTGAAATCAGATCATATACTGCTCATTCCTATTACATATTGATTGTTCTCAAAACCTTGCTCCACAAGCATGTGATGTCATCAAAAAGAGATGCACCCGGAGCTAGTAGTTGGTACGGTAGTCAGCAGGTGTCAGGTGTTGGTGTGAGTTCCGAGTGGTTCCCCAGCTGCCTTGGCCCCGCAGGGTGTGGGAGCTACAGAGTTGGTGTGGCATCGGTAGTAATGTGCTCAGGAATCAAGCTCAGGTCTGATTCCCAGATCCATGATTTCTTTGTGTGTGTGTGTGGATTTTTTGTTTTTCCTTCACTTGTACTGTTTACTGAAACTAATTTGAACTCAGTGTAACATTTTAAAGTGTCCTAATAGTGGACAAGATCTAATTCATTTGTTTGCTTCTGTGTGGAATTCTGTGTTTCTGGCACATAGCAAGTGCCCAGTAAGTATTTACAGAAAGAAAGAGAAGAACTCTCCCCTCCCCCACAGTGGAGACAGGCGCTTATAAAGCCAAACAAAAGACAGGAGGCACTGGAACCAAAAAGCTCATGGCTGCTGGAGCCTCACGTCTTGGCTTCTCCCCATGAAGGGCATGTTATTTCACACACATTTGGCCCTTGAAAAGCTTCAGATGCGTTGGTGTGGTTTAAATCATTTAACATTTCCTAGTCACATTTGGTACATAAATAATTGAACACGAGGTTTTATTAGCAAGTTCTTGTTTCGGGTAGACACTCACCCTTTGGCATTCCACTTTTGTGTCTTAAATTCCTTTCTCTTAAAGTGAAATTCACCACATTGTGGTGAAGCCCCTGCAGTGTGTGGTCCTGCATCTCGTGAAACAAGGCCTCGAGCTTGCCCGGGGACCATGCCTTGCAGTCAGCGCATGTAAGACCTGGCATTTACAGATCTTTTAACCTCAGATGGGTCATACCTGGTCAGCCGCCTGCAATCCTGCGGGACTCACTCAGTCTTGACACGAAAGACGTGCACTGAAATGTTGCAGAGCACAGCTTGATTAGGCACCACACTCTCCTGTTAAGTACAAAATCAATGTCCAAACAGAACTGTGAATGGCGCCAAGGTGATAGAAGTGTTAGTTCCAAGATAAACACTTGCTATGTCCTTTCCAGGTACAGACATTATTTGTCATTTCAGGAGCCGGGTTGGTAGCAAAGGCCACTGCTGATTAATAATCGCTGTCCATGTGCCTGCATTTTAAGAATCACAGGTGCTAAAAATAAAAACATAGTGATGAGGCTCACTTCTGTCCAAGCACGGTGTCCAAGGGCCACTGTTCATGGTGAGCCACGCAGGCCCCTCAGCAGAAGCAGTGCTGTGGATGGCCATGACAGAGCGTCTGTGCGGGACACAGGTCCCCTCCGGAACACCAAGGAACAGAGCACACAGCGGGGAAAGAATTGTGGGTAGTAATTTGGGTGTTAAAATATTAACACATTTTTGCATATTTAATGTGGTTTCCTTTTTAAATAGTAGGCAGATTACGGCATACAGGCAGATAGGTTTATGATTTCTTATTAAATTTTAAGCATTAAAAAAATCCAAAAGGAACTACTTTGTAGAAATGCATTCAGAAATGGCTTTCTTTTCGCTTATCTTATGTCAGCTAATGTTCCACGCAACAGTCTACCTTCTGAATGAAGCTTTAGGAGTCTTAGTCTTTAAAAAAGAGTTCAGAACACCTCACAGTTCATTTGCCTTGAGGATGAGACACACCTACATCTCTGAACTAAAAACAGGCAGTCTGGGAAGGCTTCAAGGCAGAGGTGATATCCATTAGAGAGAACTGTTGTCTCCACCTTTCCTTTCTGACTTATGCTTTCCTTTAAATCAGTTCCTGCCACTTATGAAAGATTTGACCTGGGAAAGGAAGCCAAACCTATAATGGTTTTTCTCAATTCTTGGATTTCCCTATAGGCAAAGATGCCCTTCGACGCCAACAAACTCTACTGCAGTGAAGTGCTAGCCATCCTGCTCCAGGACAATGACGGTGAGGCTCCCTGTCTGTGTTGATATTCCACTAGGATAGGAGCTGGGCTTGTTGCACATCATGACAGCAAGCTGTTTGCCTTTGGCATCCCCTAGCTTCCCCTCTCTCGCTCTCTCTGCAGCTTTTGTACTCTGTCAGGCCGTATTGATTTTGCTTGCTGATGTATCAGTGTTAGACGGCTGTAAAATCTGACAGTTAGCTTCATTTTTTTCTCTCTCTCTCTTCCTCTGTTTTTCCCCCTTTTAGAAAACAGGGAATTGCTCGGGGAGCTGGATGGAATCGATGTGCTTCTTCAGCAGTTATCTGTGAGTAATTCTTACATGTCCTGTTTGCCATGGAGATGCACGGGCCACTTTCAATGATGGGGTGGAGTCAGACAAGACACGAAGGGATGGGCCAAGGGATGGGGGTACCTGGAGCTCGTCGGCAGGGTGGAAGTAGCCTCCTTGTCCTGCTTGTCCTGATCACTTGCCCTTTGGTGACCAGGTGTCACTGTGTCCGTGACATTGACTGTCCCTATGTTCCAGAGGAAATGTACCCCTTGGGCCAGGAATCCCAAATGACTTTCACTTGACCCAGGTCAGAAAGCCATGGGGTAGAGGTCACAGGAGGAGGGTAGGGAAGTCCCAGGCATTGGCATCTGGAACGAGAACTGAGAAACTGCCATTTGCAGAAAAATAGAAATCCAGCTGAAATGTTCTGCTGTTGGCATGCTGAAAACACTGAATATTTCTTCTAACAAAACTCATCTGTGTTATTCCAAAAACAGGACTAAAAAGACACCATTTGGATGCAATCTTTAGAGTGTTGGGAGCGTCAAAGATGTCAGTTTGCAGACGGCTTCCGTCTGGGTGCCAGCAGCCATAGCGGGTTGGCCTCCACCCCAAGAATAGAGCTGGGAAATGTGAATGCTTCCAGTTCTAAGAAGTCATCCACCTCCTCTAAGTTGCTGGATTAGCTCAGTCACCTGGAGGGGTGTGCCTGTGCAGCTAAATGGCTTCCTCCTCCTGTGGCACACTCTGCAGGCGGAGAGAAAGTATCTGCTCTAAGCCCTTCCCGTGTAGTTCAATGGCCCTCTCGTTAGGAACCTTCCCCTTCCTGGGCCACAGCTTGCCCCTCTGTATTGCAGCTGCTTTTAGAAGGGAAGGAAATGACCTGTGCTGGGGTAGACGAATGAGGGCGTTGAGTGCAGCTGGCCAAGTTGTTTCTTGGCCTGGTGGATCATTTCAGGGGTGCTCGCTTCTCCCACTTTAGCTATTTGTGTAGTGAAGGAATTTTCTGCACTTGAACTGTATTTCATAGTCAGAATATTTCATTTGGTTTGCTGTTGCTTTTGAAAAACCCTCTTGCCTGGAATTCTCAGTCTCTTGTGGACCCAGTGGTCTGCTGTGTATTTTATTCGGCTCAGTGAACTGGTACTTAATACCTATGAGGCAGAAAGCCCACTTTCCTCAGAATCCAACCTGATGCACACTCCGTTAGGTGACCCGCCGTTCTCCCTGGCAGGGAGATCCCAGAAGGCAGGCTTTGGCGGTTGTTGGCTGGTGGCTATAAAGACATTCGCTGATGGCCCCATGATTTTGTGTGTGTGTGTGTGTGTGTGTGTGTGTGGTCTTTCCCTGACAGGTATTTAAAAGACACAATCCCAGCACAGCTGAGGAGCAGGAGATGATGGAGAACCTGTTTGATTCACTCTGCTCCTGCCTCATGCTCAGTTCCAACCGGGAGCGCTTCCTCAAGGGCGAGGGACTACAGCTCATGAACCTCATGCTCAGGTGTGTTCCTCCTTTCCGGGTCCCGGATGCAGGGAATGCAGGGGCTGGGGGTGTGGTCTTCCCTAAAGCCAGAGTAGCTGAACTAAAAATCGATTTTGGTCTGTTCTACCCCGTTGTTGCATCAGTTGGTGTTACAACTACTTCCTTGAAGTATCGTTTTACTCTGTCTCTTATACTGTTGTTTTTGGGGGGAATCTAGCCATTAATTTCTAAATTTACACTGTGTTGATTTCCAAATTTAGCTCAGTTTTCTGTAGATACGTGATGGGCCTGTCTGTGCCACATGTTTGCTGATATTTTTGCTATTGACAGGATGCCATTCATGTTTTTCACTTAATACATTTAATGAGTTGTACATATGTTATATGCCCAATATGGAAAATATGAAATGTGCAAGATAGTTCCAGAAGTTTTGTTTATAGCACTTTCTTTGTATATCTCTTCTTATGCTCTAATTCCTTAGAGAGTGTATAATGCTAATTTCACGGTTACTTCACAGCATCCTCAAGTTGGAAGCAAAAGGGAGAGGTAGCTTATATAAATAGCTTTTTTGAGAAATCTGCCTAGCAGAGAGAAGAGATACATGTGGGTGGGGGTGAGCAGGCATGCCCAGGGTGTAGGATCAAGGGGTAGCCTGTTTTTTTTGTTTTTTTTTTTTTCTTTATCAGTTGAGATATAGTAGAGCCTGTTTGCATGCTTCTAAACATACCCCAATCATCCTGGAACTGGTCGTTACGTAACTGAGTCAGTGTCTACTGTCCTGAAATTTCTATTTATGTACAATTGTATGACTGAAAACTGTTTAACTGAGATATTTCTTCCGGAGGTTTTTTTTTTTTTTTTCCTCCCATTAATTCGATAGACATTTACCAAATGTAATTTAGAATGCAGACAGGCAGAACTGTGGTTGAAACATTGATAAGGTTGTGTGTTGCGTGCTAGGCTTACACAGAAATAAGTAAGACAAAATTCCTGCTTCCTGAAGCTAACAAGAAAACAAACAAACCAACAAAAGAGCGCTATCATCCAAACACAGCCTGTCTTGGCATGTGTATTCTCTTCCAGCCTTCTTTCCTGTAATTGTTTTCTTGTTTGGAACACCTTTCTAGGCCTTCCCATGCCTTGCACCTGATTTTCTGTTCTGTTCCTTTGGAAGTTGAACACGCTGTCCCCCAGCACTGTGATGTGTCTTCATGAGTTTTCAGTATACACAAAGTGGGCTCAAGGAGACAGTAACTTATACAGGATGCTTCTCTCTTTGGTTTGAGGTTATTTTTTAGTGTTCTGCTATTAAGATAAATTCTAACTGGATATTTTTTGGGTTCAAGGTAACTTTAGGATCACCACAGAGCACACTAAAGAATCTCCTTGTCAAAGTCGTTGGGGGCTAGGAGCCCCAGTGAACTCCTTGTCTGTCCAGTGTATAGGAGAGCATGGATTGGTCAAAGGTCTTCCTTTGAGGAATTAACTTTTTTTTTTTAAAGATTTATTTTTATTGGAAAGTCAGACATACAGAGAGGAGGAAAGACAGGGAGGAAGATCTTCCGTCCAATGATTCACTCCCCAAGTGAGCGCAATGGCCGATGCTATGCCGATCCGAAGCCAGGATCCAGGAACATCTTCCGGGTGTCCCACACAGGTGCAGAGTCCCAATGCTTTGGGCTGTCCTCGACTGCTTTCCTAGGCCACAAGCAGGGAGCTGGATGGGAAGTGGAGCTGCCAGGATTAGAACTGGCACCCATATGAGATCCTGGCGCGTTCAAGGTGAGGACTTTAGCCGCTAGGCCATGCCGCTGGGCCCAAGGAATTAACTTTTAGAAACAAATTCTTTTGTAAAGTGCAGAGAGAAATGGAAAATTCTTCAGAGGCCTTTAGCATTTATCTGGTTTTTGTTAGCTTTTCTCTCTCTCTCTTTTGTTTATTTCCTTTGCCCTTCTGATTGCCTGGCCTTTTGTTGAAAAGAGCCACCTTCTCTCAAACAAGTAGCAAATAAAGAAGCTCCATGTGGGGTGAATTTCTGTGGCATGGTGGGTTAAGCCATCACTTGGGGTGCTGATGATTCAAATTGATGACTCAGGTGCTTAGGCCCCCGCCACCCATATTGGAGTCCCAGAAAGTCTGGGCTTCCTGGCTGTGGCTTGGGCCAGCCTTGCCTATTTCAAAGGAGTAACCTAGGAAATGGAAGATCTCTCACTCATTATCTTTTTTCTCCCCTTCTCTCCCACTCTGCCTTTTATGCTGATTAAAAAAAAAAATCAATAAATGAACATAGAAAAGAAGATGTATTTGTTCTCCTAATCTTAAAACTACGCCCTGCAGGGACTTTTCCTTAATCCTCTTTAAAGGTCTCAGCTGCCAGTACCTTTGGATGGTTGAGTGCAAATATGAAGTGATGTATTCCTGTAACATATGGCTTGTTAATGTGTAGCAGTGGGGAGCTGAATAAATAACCAGAAATATGGATTATTCAAGCAGGAATGCTGAGATTCCGGCGGCTAATTAAGGAAGAACACCAAAAGGCCGAGAGACCGTGTCTCTCTAGGATCTCCCAACTTTTCATCTGTGAGTGCTGAAGTTACTGGGAAATTCTTTCCTTTGCATTAATTAGCTATATTCGCAGATTCAGCACTTCCTTTTTTCTCCTTTGCATGTTCTTTATTCTCTGCTATTTTTCTTTTTCAGACTCCCAAATGTAAAGTTTAATTGGGAGGGAATTTTTCCCCCTCCCTACTGTATGCACCTTTCTTAATCTTGTAGTAAGACCTGCCAAGTTGCTGTCTCTCCAGAGAGACTCCACTTAAGGCTGGGAAGCTGTACCATGTGAAATTCAGAAAACTTCCTATGGTCCTATCAGCCCCCAAGCATGAATCCCAACTTTGTGGTCCGGCCATTTGTCGGCTGTGAGATGCCCGTTCACGGGGGTGGCGGGTGTGGGGTGGGTGGACGTTCCCCAGGACTAAGGGAAACGTGGATGTGGAACAGGGCGCTCTCACCTCCTTGCTCTGGATATTTGGTAGCTATTTTAACCACTCTAACTTCCCGACTTTTTTTTTCACCTGGGGGAGAAAAAAAAGGTGGTAGTACTGCCATATATTCAGGCATTTTGAGGGAGTTGGGCTGTATAGTGTCTGATGCAATACTGCAACAACGCAACACAGAGAAGGTACCTTGTTAGGTCAGTGTGTGAAGCATGAGGCTGATGCAGTGATGTACTGCACGGAATTGGTACCTTGCAGATATTCAGGGCCCCATGCGGGAAGTGGACCCTATTGAAGAGCAGTGGTTACTTTTGCTTATTGAAAGGTTATATGACTTGCTTATCATGCCTGATAAGGAAAGATCACAAACAAGAATCATTTATATACAAACAGGACATTTCTTTCTCATACAAAAATATATACATTGTACTGGTCCATTTACTCTTTATCAGCTTTATTGAGACTTGATGTGTGTACAGTAAAATGTGCCCATTTTGAGTATACAGTTTTAGTTCGAGTTCATGTCCACACCTTTGTCTGCACTGTTTTCTTGAAGATCCAGGGTAGCACTTTGCAGAGGAAGGCACATGTGGACAGGGATTTCTTTTGGGTGGTAGCTACTATAGAAAGGTTAAGAGGAACATTTCTAATAACATATTGTAACTCATTATATCACCAAGTATTTTAACAAGTTATCAGTATGGAAAATTAATTAGTGATCTATTCACATTTTTTTTTTTGTAATTCACAAAATTCTTTGTATTTTACATTGTATCTCAACCTACATGCCAAATTTTTAGGTTCTGTAAAATTTACAGTTGGAAAAGTGAATTTCCATGGCCACATTTCTGCAAACATACTTACATTTTCCAATGGCTGAACCGAGCATCATATTTTAAATTTAATAGATTTATTCAAATTATGCAAATTCCTTGATTGTGGTAACCACATTTTGGTTACTCTACACATTTTAGTTGCTGGATAGCATCGGTGAGAGAACTGACTTTACCTCAATGCAAAGAACTTTCAAATCCACATACATTATTTATATTCTGCTCTTCCATAAGTCCTCTTAATCCCCTTTGCCATGAACTCTCTCCCATCCATTGGCCCCAGTCAACCCCCGTGGTTCTAAAATTTCATATAGATAGAATCACATGGAATGTTTTGTGTCATGCTCATTCAACAGATTGTTTTTAAGATTCATTTTGCGTAATTTTCTGTTTTGGTGGTTTTCTGTCATATCTCTACATTTGTTTATTCACCTGTTCTGCACATTTGGATGGCTTCCAGTTTTTTGTCATTATGTATAAAGCCACTAAAAATCTTTAGAAAAACATGTTTTCATTTCTCGTTGGGAAGAAAGCCTAGGAGTGGAATAACTGGAACATCTTGTGGATGTATGTTGACTGTTAGAAACCATCAGACTGTTTTCCAAAGTGATCATATCATATTGCTAGCAGCAAACAAGTGAGCTCCAGGCGCCCTCTTCACCTCTCGGCGTTTGAGTGAACGTGGGTAGTGGTTTCTGTCTGCACTTACCTGTTGTGGGTGACTATCTTTGCATGCACATTACAACCTTTCTTCCCTTTTTTGTTGAAGTCTAGGTGGGAAGTTTTTAACCATTCTTTATTCTAGATACGATTCTTTGTCAGACATACGGCTTGAAAATATTGTACTCCTAATCTGTGCCTTACCTTTTCCTTTTTTGGCAGTGTCTTTTAAAGAGGGGTGGGGGGGAATCCCCAGTGCCTATAAAACTGTATCATATAATACAATGTTAATAACAATTAAAAAAAAAACTACAAAATCTAAAAAAAAAAAGAGTAAATCTTTCTCTCTGCTGAAATCCAAATTCAACATTTTTTTCCCATATGAATTGTGCTTTTGCTATTGCATATAAACTGTATTCACCTGACCCAGAATTTTAAAGAGTATCTTCTATGTTTTTCTTTTTGATGTTTTCATTTTAGGCTTTATACTAATAGGTTCATTTTTAACTTTTGCTAGATGGTGGGAAAC